CGAGGCGACAGGTGCACACAGTTTACCTGTCAGCTTGCAGCAGCTTCTGGATGCCGTCAGCCAGCTGAGCCACTCGAGCCTCCATATCAGACTGAGCCTGTAAACAAACACAAACAGAGGTGCTAAACATTAGCTGCAGTTCCTCTGATGTCCAGCAGAGGCAGCAGTGAGTCAGTCCCAGAGACTCACATGTGGAAAAAGCAGAAATAAACATGTGTACGGGCTGAATCGATCTATCAGCTGTACTCACCTTGAAGAGAGGAGCAGCAGCTGCCAAAGCTGCAGTGGCAGCGGCGGCGGCAGTGCTACTGGCATCTCCCAGGTCACCAGAGGACAGCGGCGTCTCCATCTGGACCCCAGCATCCTTCGCTGCATCCCGGGAGCTCAGAGCAGGGGAGTCCGGGGGGTTTCCCGCAGAGTGGAGCGGCATCGGTCCAAGAAGTGAACTTTGACCTCCCTCCTGCGGGGGCGCTGTGAGAGCTGAGCATCACAGATAAGATGAGATGTGTTTTTATGAGCAACCTGTAGCAAGTCTGAGGAAACACGTTTCACTCACCGCTGCTTCAAAGCCGCCAGCACGACTCCTCGACCCCCAGATGCAAACCGTGACGTAAGGACGTCGTCACCTGATGATGCAAGCAGAGGTGGAGTCAGTATTGTGATGATTAAAGATAAACACAGAACGTTTTACGACTCAAATTGAATTGATTAATTATGGTGAGAAGTGTGAGAGTCTCGGAGGCTCACTCTCACACCGAGTCAAACTAAAATACAAAAAATATGAATTTTGATCTTTTTACGATCATGTGTGAAGAAATTCTGTCTAACGCAGGGGTGGACAATCTCAGTCCACGAGGGCCGGTGTCCCTGCAGGTTTTAGATCTCACCTTGGGTCAACACACCTGAATCACATGATTAGTTCGTTACCAGGCCTCTGGAGAACTTCAGGACATGTTGAGGAGCTAATTTAGCCATTTAAATCAGCTGTGTTGGTTCGAGGACACATCTAAAACCTGCAGGGACACCGGCCCTCGTGGACTGAGATTGCCCACCCCTGGGGTCCGTTCTTCGTACCTCGCTTACTACATCCAAGATCAAATGACACATCCAAGATCAAATCATCGCGCCAACTTTGAGCTCGCTATTCCGGTTCTCCGAACACACCTGTTGTTGATGATTAGTACAGCTGGATGAAGTAATGTGAGATCACTGGGTGGCTTAACAGGGGCTACGCATCGATAGTAGAAACATTGATCGGCAACCCTTTGATTGGTCGGCGAAAATGTCGAAGGAGCGCGCTCAGTATTTTTCGGCAGCAGAGCAAGAACTCTTGAGTGAGGGATTTCAGGAGTTTCAGAGTTTAATTAAAACGCAAGGAACACTGCAACGGCTGCAAAAGCAAGGAGAGAGGGCTGGCAGAAAGTTGCTGACAAATCAAACTCGTAAGTAATTTAATAATAATAATAATGGAGTGGATTTATATAGCGCTTTTCAAGGCACCCAAAGCGCTTTACAATGCCACTATTCATTCACTCTCACATTCACACACTGGTGGAGGCAGCTACGGTTGTAGCCACAGCTGCCCTGGGACAGACTGACAGAAGTGAGGCTGCCATATCGCGCCATCGGCCCCTCTGGCCAACACCAGTAGGCGGTAGGGTAAATTTATTATATTACACTATATCCTCTTTCACATTAGAGCCACGACAGGACCCACTAGAACATGGGAACAAGTAAAGTGAAATATAAGAATATTCCACAGAATGGTAATATTTATCACTTATATTGCTTTTAGTCTCTTGAAAAGAGACCCTGAAATAATCTGTTTGTTTGTTCATAACAGCAACCAAGAAAAGGGCAGAGCAAAAAAAGACAGGTGGTGGTCCTGCACCCCCTCTTCAACAAGTTGGTTAAGTAAATAATACCCTCACGGGAAAATCGATATCTCTCTATGAGCACACTGTCGCGCTGAGCTAAAGGATCCTGTCTGTCCCGCAATATACGCTGAATTCTGAAAACTCTCCTTATCAATCTTGCACCTTCCGCAATGGGTGGCTCGCGTATACGGACAGGACATGACTGCGACAGACTTCCCAAATCCACCTTCGCTTTTATAGCCGTGGTCTCTCAGCTTGATTACACGAAGTAATTTACTATTACTACTCTGAAATATGAATTACATCTGAAACAATCAAATACATGAAATAGAATGATTAATAGTACATTTCCCTTTTTTTAGGAAATGACCTGTATGTATTAGAGATGGCACGATACCACTTTTTTATCTCCGATACCGATATCATAAATTTGGATATCTGCCAATACCGATATGAATCCGATATAGTGTTTTTTAATCAACAAAACTGTTTTTGTAAATATCTTGCTGCATTTTGTATAAGTTCATACTCAAGTTTAAAACAACAACTACACTAAAGCTATTCTGTTATACCTGTATACAAAAAAATATTTCATAGTTCAGCAATACTGATCAATCTAATAAACTTAAACCTACACCATCCTCCCTATTCTGGTATTTTAAAGAGTACTTAGCGTAAATATTAAGCAACCTAACTAATAGGGTTCCAACTCCCAGCAACAACAAAAAAATAAATAAAAAATAGGGAACCACCCTCACGCTCCACCTCATGATGCTTAATCGACGTAATCAACCTTAATTTGATGCAGTGTGGAAAAAAAAATGCACAGAAATCAATAATTTTTCAAGAAATATTAAATAGATTCAACATCTTTCTTCAACAAAATTGCAGACTGCACAGATGGTACCTTCCCAAAGTAAAAAGTACTATAGCTTACTAGGGTATATATATTAGACTTAATAGTCACTATATACAGTAATTGACTTCTAATCATTTTACATCAAATTAAAACTTTGGGTGTCAGATAATTATTTATTAAAAGCTAGACATTTTAAATGAGAATAAGAAAGAAAAGTATGTCTTTGTGCCCCCTTTTCCCTGTTAATGCCCTATCGGCCCCCCTGGCTAAACTTTGCTAGATCCGCCCTGCACAGTTACCAGCGTCAGCTACTAGAAAAAGATCCTCGAGTAGAAAGTAATATTAAATAAATTCTTACAACAGCTTATCAAGCTTAAACGTGCTGCTGTTGTTCAGCCGCTGGTTTCCTCTTTCTGGTGCAAAGTGGGCCAAAAACAAACAAGAGAGACGGACTCCCGACAGAAAAGCCGATCAGCTGATCATTAAGCACTTTCACAATTGAAGTAGCAGCCGGAGAGTGAGAGGCAGTCGCTTAACGCAGGAATGCTTTACTAACATTCAGAGATGGACTTACACACTTGCTTTACTTCTCTCGGATAACTTTGTCGGAGATGAAATGCCGGGTTGCTAGCGAAGCTCCAAATGCTATCCAGACCAGGACAGGTCCGGCATGCCACAGCCGCTCTATCACGTGATGCATACTGCTCCGACGTGCTAACATTCTGAGGTGAGTTACGGCGTGTTGCAAGTTTTGTGAGGTGCTTTCGTGATATTTAATGGATCGGATTACATTTTTTATTTTTCTCCGATATCCGATCCAGTAATTTAGGTCAGTATCGGACCGATACCGATACGTAATATCGGATCGGACCATCTCTAGTATGTATCTGTATGGAATCAATAAAAGAATCAAATACTGCATTATCTTTAGTTACATTGATGTTATTTATTTATGGTGAAACAGTGGTGGAATATCGCTGTTGCTTTCGTATAAATGAAGCGGACATACCTGAGTGGCCGCGATCTAATCCTGTTTACATAAAGTAAGCCTGCTCCCGAGCAGGTTTACGCTTACGGATCTGTTGCTATGACAGCAAGTCCCGGATGAGCTTCGGAGAACCGAACGATCCAAGATCAGCGAAATCGTCAACAATCAAATCCAGCTAACTTACTTAGCGAGGTACGAAGAACGGACCCCTGGGCCCTATTTCAGGAAGCCGGTTTAGAAAACAGAGTGAAAAACGATACTCAGGGTCGAGTAACCCGAACTGTCCAACTCGGAATATTCGGTTTCAGAAAGGCTGATAACAATTAGTTCAGTCAACGTGGAGTTGCTTTAACCCCAAGTTAAGCACGCGCACGAGGATACATAAAGCCCTGATTAGTGGAGCACAGATTAAGCGAGTCACCATGGAGACGGAGGGAAAGAAGGCGCGGTCAATGTATTTTACAGCGCTTGAGGCCGAAATTCTGATGGCAGCATATGCCGATAACATGCAAATTTTGCGGGAAAAAAGTAACACAGCCACAGCTGCGAAAGAAAGGGAGCATGCATGGCAAAACATAGCCGACAGAGTCAATGCGTGAGTGTTAATTTAAACATTGATCTAGGGATTTCCACCCATTTTACACGTTATTTTATTATTTTTTATTTGATTTTTTATTTCATACATTTTATTTTGTGATGTGATGTGAGCGCAGGTGCAACCCAACAGGCTCCAAACGTTCCTGGCAGCAAGTAAAAATGAAATATAAAAATATAGTCCAAACAGGTAAGGTGTAATTGTATTATGAGCCATAGTGCTTGGTCTGTTTGTCCGATGTAAATCAATTGCAGTTAGAGGCTACATTAATTTTCTTTCTGTAAGCACTTATTGAAATTATCTGAGCACATTACAAGTACATATTTGCTTACTCTGTATGCTCAAATGTGACCCGTTATAGCCAACAGAAAAAAAGCGGAGGCCCGAAAAACAGGTGGGGGTCCTCCACCACCACCACTCACAGAGGCTGAGCATTGGCTTCCACATTTGTGATAATGTTGGCAGCATCACATATGATCTTCACAGGCAGAGAACACAAATTAGCATCCATTACTATAATGAAATAATTTGTTTAGTTTGAAATGCTACAGGGAACTATGTACCTGTACATTAATGCTGTGGAAAGACTTCCTGTTCACATAGTCTCCTTCATTTACTGAAGGAGCAATGATTGGAATGTGAGTGCCATCTGTACAGCCAATCACACCTGGGAACCGTGAAAATAATGTAAAATTAAGTAGTAGTTCAGTATCACCAAATCATGAATTAAATTTTGTTCATCCTGATACCTGCAATTTTGTGGCATCCCTCTTTGATAAATCTTTGGGTCTATGACCGGGAAAACCACAAACGAGTACAGGAGACGTTTCAGTGCAACTGTAACATTCCTGACTGCCCGACAGACGGTAGCCTTGGAAACGTGCTCAGCGTCTCCAATATTATACAGAAAGCTCCCGTTTGCAAAAAACCGGAAGTGCAATACAAATAATATGTACAGAACTGAGAGGATGTCCGCGATGTGTCACATGAGCAATATTAGGCCTGAGGATGTTATTCAAATAAATTATAGATTGTGCTGAAAAACGGTAACGTTCACACAGGAAATCATCAGGAAATGATAAAATGTCCAAACGTGCTCTAATCACTCTCTCCGGGCGGAGAGCTCTGCGGAGAATTTGGGCTTCAACATCTACTGGCTCTTCAAGGAAGGGGCACGCCACCCAGGAATAACACCCAGGAATAACATCCTGGGTGGCTGTAGCTCAGGTGGCAGAGCAGGTCAGCCACTAATCAGAAGGTCGTGGTTCAATCCCAGCCAAATATCCTTGGGCAAGATGCTAACCCCGTGTTTGCCTACTGGTGGTGGTCAGAGGGCCCGGTGGCGCCAGTGTCCACCAGCCTTGCCTCTGTCAGTGCGCCCCAGGGCAGCTGTGGCTACAATGTAGCTTGCCATCGCCTGTGTATGAATGGGTGAATGACTGAATGTAGTGTGAAGCGCTTTGGGGTCCTTAGGGACTAGAAAAGCGCTATACAATGCAGGCCATTTACCATGTCTGACACTTCCTACAGTCAGGTTCCGGCGGAGAAAGTCAGGGTTAGTTGAAGTAAACCTGCTAGGGGGCAGGTTAGCTTCACGGAGTGGTGTCGTCATAGTGACTCACTCAGAATTAATCTAAACTTGCTTTGTGAAACCGAAAACCCAGAGTTTTCGTTAACTCAGGGTATACTTACTCAGAGTTTTGCACTAAACCGGCTTCCTGAAATAGGGCCCTGGTCTAACGTCTAGAGACGTATCTGTAACGCGAGGCTGCTGATTGTTGGCTGAAATGCGATCTTCACTGCTTTTTAAAGGACCGTCTGGTTTAATGGCTTTAGGTGTAGCAGAGTTATTAGTTTTGTTTTTGAACGTTATTGTGACCTGTATTGCTGTATAGAGGGTGTGTGTCACAGGCACGATCTATGACACTGAACAGCGATCCTCAGCCTCAAAGATGTCCATTAAAATCTCGTCAGTCACGATGTCCCAGAATTATTTCAAACCAACAAAGATTTACACTATATTTTTATCCTATTTTATTTTCCACGTTCATTTCAGTTTGAGTTTTTAATTGTTATTTAAAAGACTACAACTAAGAATTTTACTTTAGTGAACTGAAATGTGCCGAGACAGCTAGTTTTAGTGAACTAACCCTACTCCTACCTCAGTGTTTCTCTGTGCTGCTGGCTTTTAAACCTCACCCTGAGCTAAAGTGAACGGCACAGCTCCACGCAGCTGTGAGTCACGTGAGCAGCTATGACTTTATCCAAAGTTTCTGGATTTCTTCCATGACCCTCACAAACTCCCCCACACCCTGATGCACGGACACACCTTCAGTATGGGCACGTTTTAAAATAATGAACACATCTGCCAGGTATTATATTACCCCCCCACCTGTGTCCATCGCCTCAGCGAGTTTTCCGTCTCCTCCTCCGGAGATCTTACGGGGCTTTAAGTACGCTGCTGACCGATGTAAGCAGCGATATCCGGGTTCTGTCTGGGACTTCCGCCGCCGCTGCTTATTCTGTCTCAGTTCGGTCAGAGTAGGAGGACGAAAGTCCCGCAGTTTTCGGACGGTTATCTGGACGGATCCGGGTCCCGGTCCGCCTCCGGGACCGGTCCGTCCGGGTGGAGGACTCGTGTGGAGCGGATTAAAACGTCCCCGGTGTCTGAGCTGCAGGAGGACTGATCCGGACTGAGTGCAGCCGGAGAAGACATGACGCTGTTTACCTACAGTGTTAATAAAGCTTATTTAAAGCTGCACTGTTAGCATGGAAGCTAACTTCGTCCAGACTTCCCGCTCCGGCTCTAAAACCCGCCGCTGGCCGGGCAAAGTAAGGCGGCGGTCAGCGTCGCGGGGGGCGAGGAGAGAGTTAAAATAATTTACACCCCAACGAGACGCCAGGAAAAACCCCCACAGAAAGTACGACAGAAAAAAGAAAATGTTCAAACACAGCAACTGTTGCTGACAACAAACAACCGAACTTCCGGCTTCCGCTCCAGACAGGATGCTGAAAAAACTCGCTTCAAAATCAAAACACGAAGAAGAACAAACGGCATTGAGAAACAAGTAAACACAGCAAATTAAAATTTTATTTATTAGCCGAAAATGGACAGTACACCTCTATCATAGAAAAATCAATGAGTGCGAAAATGACTGAAAAAATGTATTCAAACGAATTCATTCATAAATACTTGAAACACTCGTCTCACTCGTTCTGGAAGCTGCAGTTGTGAAAACAGCTTCTTTGTCAGAGTGCATTTTACTGCTTGCGAGAACTCTATGTTTTTCTGAAATGTGTTTGAAACGACCCTGTAAAGTTGGACTGGTTCAGGAGAAATTATGATTGAAGATGGTTTGCCTTTATAGAAGGACTTACTGATGAAGTTTAGATTTAGTTTAATGCGATTATATTTGGAGGACGGAACACCAGTCACAGAACTTTTGTTGCTCTTCGGTAAGTTTCGGTTTCTGACCTGAACATTCGTCACATTTTTCTCTCAAATGTACATTTTTATTTGTGTTTTGAGTTTAAAATTATTAATTAATAGCTGAATGTTAAGCTTAATGTAAGCCTCATGTGGTTTTTTTCTTTTTAATTTAGATGAAAAGTCGCAAAAATATCGGAGAGGATCTGCTGCTCTGTGCGCATGCGTCCTTCAGTCCGTCACTCGGAGGTTCCCCTCAGGCAGCTCGGAGCTCAGGTGGAATAAAAACTGTCCTCCTTCTGCTGTAAAGGGAAACTGAGCGCTGCTGCTTGGGAGGCTGAAGAAGAACATCCCCAGGAGAACAGAGGGACCCTCATCACAGGGCGGGAACACGGCGCTAACCGGGCTAGCCGTTAGCAGCAGCAGTCCGTTTAAAGTGCTGTTTTATCAGGTAGGTTTGTTCATCATGTCACTAAAGCCCGGGTAACCTCTGCTATCTGAAGCGTTACTAAACCAGCCAACCTAAGCTGAACGGTACACCTGTAAAGTCACATTGAAAGAATAACACGTGAGCGCCGGAGGAGCTTTAAAAGAGGCGGACCACGAAGTGAGCTAAAATGGAGGATTTATGAATGGAGTCTGGTGTGTTAGCATTACTGCTAATTGTCGCCCTGTTTCCCCTCCCACAGAGTCCGAATCATGGCGGTCCAGGTGTCCGAGTTCGACCAGATCAAACAGGTAAGTGACCCCAAGAGTTTTCATGTCGACTCTGAAAAAAGAGGCTCAGAATTCAGAGGCACAAAGTCCGGTTACTGTGGCCTCCAGGGTCCATAGAAAGCCCGCACTGAACTATACAGCAAGGAGTCGAAGGGGCTTGGAAAGAAAAGCGTCTGGACTTCTTTAGGTTGCTGGAAGACATTTCACTAGTGATGGGTCCAGCAACACCGACGCATGTATCAAGCTAGCGATGCCTGTATCGGTGCGTGCGTCGCTTTAAGAAAAAGTCACGTGATCGATACAGCTGCTGTATCGCTCATTGCCAACGCGCCAAACCGTGTTTAAAAGGTACCGCATTTGCCAACGGAATGAGTCGCCACCAAAAAACACAAAATTACTCTCGCAAAGACTAAAAAACAAAACACATCAAAATGGAGCCCGAATGAAAAAGAAATGTTTCTGCTGTGTGGGATCATTTTGATCTTTTAACTGCAAATAAGTTTGTCTGTCTTTGTTTCAGTGTAATCTATCAGAACAGGAAAAACAGCAATGTGACTTGAAGTTTAAATTATTTATTTCATTTGATGCAGGATAAATGTTGCATCTGTTCTGCGGAGCTTTCTTACACAAACAAAAGCACATCCTCAGTGTTTAGGCATTACAGAGCCAAACATGAAAATGAGGAGACAAACACACCGAGAATGAACACTGGTAGGCCTATATAGACACTAAACATCTTTATCATCATTTTTTTTAAATTAATGTGTTTTATTATTTTCAAATCAAGCATCTAGGAAGACTGCTCTGGACCAGGCAGTCCTGAATTTTATTATAAAGGACTGCCAACCCCTTAGTATTGTGGAGAGAGAGTGTAACGTACTGAGGGAATAGGAAGACATCTTATCAGAACCTTTTCCACCTGGCTTTACAGTTTTTGTTTACCCCAGCTGTATCTGTTCCTGTGAGTTTTCCAAAGCTGGGGAAATGGTGTGTTTTAAAAAAAACAAAAACAAAAAAACGCAATAGACTGAATGCTAAAACATTGGATAAACCTATTTTTCTGAATAGAAATTTATAATAAACTCTGAGTCAAATACATTTAAATGGGTAATGTTACATTCACAATACTTTCATTTTAATTTTCACATAATGTCATTCATAATATATTTTAAAGATTTCTACAATATTTGTAATATAGAAGATATAAAATGATTCCATGGAAAGTACAATACCTTACAGTGTACAAGTATGACTAGGTCATTGAATCAGTGTCTGTTGTGAGTCTCAAGTAAGTTGCCTGTAATGATATTTAAGGTCCAGCAGGTGTCAGTATGGAGCAAAACTGTGCCGACGCAGTGTCGATACAGTTTGGGGAATGTGCTGAAACGCTTCACGAGGCCTCATCTACCCATCACTACATTTCACCTCTCGTCTGAGAAGCTTCTTCAGTTCTGGGTTAGCTTCTCGAATGAGTACTCCTTAGACTACGATGACCTGGATGACTGAGAACCTTCACAGATATACAGCAAGGAGGCCTGTGAGGGACAAAAAAGGAGAGAGCGACAGACCCGTAGGTAAAAATAAATAGATAAAAACAGAATCAATCAAAACAAACTCAAATACCGTCAATGCCAGAACACTGTGCCAGCTTATTGGGACCAATACATGAGGGGACAAGAAAGTAATTAGTTTTAATTTAGAAATGAAAAATTCCTTTAAAGAGTAGCTAAAAGCAATGCACATAAATAATAAATAAATGAAACCGTATAATTGAGAGATAGGATCATGAAATGTTTTTAAAGTAAAAAATTAAGCACGTAAATTAGAACGTATGATAAAAGTAACTTCAAAGATAAAGTATTTAAGATAAGATAAAACCTTATTAATCCCTCAGCACAGCACCGACAGAAGTTACAGAGCGTGAGCAGAATAATATATATATGCAATAGACCTCAATACTTGAAATGTGCAATTCACTTGTATTTTTTATTTGTATTCCTATTTATCCCCTTCGTATAAATAGTGTTGGGATTCAGAGATTCTTTTATTGCTACCATATAATCTGCCTTATGAAGAATGTATTAATAACATGTTTTACAGTATCATTTATCGGTAATATTTCCTGCAGGGTTTATAAAATTGCATTGAATATGTCTGTCATCACATTGACCTTTCTATTTTTACAGGTTGAGTTCATTTTATACACAATGCATAAATGTGCTTGGTTAAGAGTTGATGTTCCATTCTAGAAGGTCTAAAGCTTCGCTGGCGTGACTGTCCAGGTGATACATGCTGAGGGAAGATGAGAACATAGCAGGTTAATTGCATGCATGCTTACAATACACATATTAATCTAGTGGCAGGTTTGAGTGAAGGCCTAAGCGTCTTCTTCTTCAGTTTGAGACTGGCTGCAAAGTACTCTACTTAGGGATTAATGACGAGGGTCCATTATTAGCTCTCAGAAACGCTAAGACCTGAAGTTATTACCTTAAAAGGCAAGTAATGTAGAAAAGAGAAGTTATGTCAGTTTATAGTTATTAAAAGTATATGTGATGAACCCTTGTTTGTACGAGTTGAACTTTTGTCTGTCTGTCACCAGGTATTTTTGAACTGTATTGACGTAGGTGTGATATTTTATCCTATAAAACCAAAACCCATTGTATTTTTGTCAGAGCAACACATTCTGTATGCTGATGGTTGGTTGTTCTCCTGTGATAATAAAACTCATCGTTTGATTGCACTTTTCCGGAGTCTCCGTCGTTTGTTGTCTGGTCTAAAGTTGATCGATCTCGCAACAATAGGAATACAAATAAAAAATACAAGTGAATTGCACATTTCAAGTATTGAGGTCTATTGCACCGCTGACTATTAACAAAAAGTATTGCACAGTGAAGTGAAGAGGCACTACAGCTTAGTTGTTCCCCCCTCCTTTGTCCTCCAGAGAGGAGTTAAACAGTTTGATGGCGTGTGGGACAAAGGAGTTTTTAAGTCTGTTGGTGCTTGTCTTTGGGAGAAGCAACCTGTCACTGAACAGACTCTTCTGGTTGTTTATGGCCGTGTGCAGAGGATGCCCAGCATTGTCCATAATGTCCAGCAGTTTTTTGTTTTGTTTTTTAGTGTCCTTTTCTTTGCCACTGTCACCAGAGTGTCCAGCTTCATGCCGACCACAGAGCCAGCCTTCCTGATCAAGGAATTTGTTCATTTCGCTTCTGTCAGTGCGCCCCAGTGCAGCTGTGGCTACAATGTAGCTTGTTATCACCAGTGTGTGAATGGATGGATGACTGAATGTAGTGTAAAGTGCTATACAAATACAGGCCATTTACCATTTATAAATGAAAATAAATTAAATAAAAATAAATCAAATGAAACTAGAAAATATTATATGGCATTATGAAAAATTATAGTTAAGAAATGAATATCTGAAATGAAAAGCAAGTTTGTAAAAAGGGAGGTAAATGAATGGAAAAAGGTGAAACTTCAGGAAATGAAAACAGAAGAAAATAAAAAAACAAAATGGTTAAAAGTTTTTGAAAAAGAATATTGAAGGGCTTATTTATGACAAATACACTATTCTTTGTAATACTGTTTTATGAACGGAAGCTTCTGTGCTGCACTTCGCTGAACATTTACTTTTTCAGAGCAGTAGACTTTTTTTTTTTTTTTTTATTCCTTCACAAATGTGCTTTAGTGAACAAAAGGAGCAGCTCTCCAGCACACATGTAAATCTAATGCCAGAAATTGCACTAACGGTTCTACTTATGAGCTCCACCTGTAGTTGAATCATATTTTTTTTTATTTTTAAAACTGAGCGTGCCTGAAGCAGCGAGAGGACGGAGGTTAAAACCTGTTTGAGGAAATTTCTTCCCAGACCTGAACCTCGGATCCTTCTCCTCTCAGATTGTTTTGCTGAGTTGCTGCTCTGCAGCCGTTTTCTGAGCCGTGTCTGTTTCCTGTGTTCAGTTTAAGGAGTTTCTGGGGACGTACAACAAGGTGACGGAGAACTGCTTCATGGACTGCGTCCGAGACTTCACCACAAGAGACGTGAAGCCCGAGGAGGTAAAAAAAAGATGATTGGATGACAGAAACATGTAGGTGAAGGAACATCTGGATAAAATCCTCACAGCCGTTTGTGTTTCAGTCGAGCTGCTCCGAGTCGTGCCTGCAGAAGTACCTGAAGATGACTCAGAGGATCTCCATGCGTTTCCAGGAGTATCACATCCAGCAGAACGAGGCTCTGGCGGCTAAAGCTGGCCTGCTGGGACAGCCGCGCTGACCCTGAACCTGGGCCAGGCCGGGCCGTGCTGGTCCAGCAGATCCTCCGGCGCTGTAAAAACAGACTCTGAAGCTGCGCGTGAGGACGTTTTGTTGTAGTTTCTGACCTGAAGCTCCGCCCCCTCAGATTCTATCTGCAGGGTTAGTCGGCTGTTCTGTGCATCATGGGAAATGTAGTTTCAGATTCTTTATTAACATGCAGAATATTCATTTAATGTGCACATTTGTCATTTTATTGAACACAACGACCGACCGATGTGGTGGTGATGATGATGATGATGAGCTGACTTCATTTTTCATGTCTGGAAATAAAAATAATCCGACATCAGGAATGTGTGGATGTTTTCATCCCTGTTAGGAAGTGCTTTACTGCATCCGGCCTCAGTCTGGCTCTGCTGCAGATCACACAGTCCTGAGAAACGTTCAGACCAGCTGCAGCGTTTCACATGATTCAACTGCTCCGGCTGGAGAGCTCGTTATGTCCTGAAAGTTACTGATTAACCTGCTTTTAGTACTGAAGTGTTTCTGCAGCAGACCCTCGCTGATGGCCTTACTCTAAAGTCAAAGGTTAGTTTTATTGCAAGTTGCATTGCAACTTATACCAAATGTACACTGTATAAAACAATCACTAAATCAACATTGAATACAGACTACAAATTACGAGTAAAGACTGTGGCTGCATAATAAAAGCCGGGGTGTGCGGCTCTAACAGACCTGAGAGCAGTTGTTTTTTGTTTATAGTGACTTAGAGTTCGGGCAGCTCTAATGTGAAAAGCTAAGTTTAGCAGCCACCCCTGAGAAGGCTCCATCGCCTCTGCTTTCAAACCTGGATCTCTGAATCTCCAGGAGCAGCAGTGCCTCAGTGCTGTGGTAGAACTGAAGGGTTTCAAACGGTTTGTCGGGTAAGGCGGTGCCAAACCATCGACGCTCTGAGAAACAAATAATAGATTGTTAAACTGGATCTGAAATGCACTGGGAAGGCTAGAACAACAAAATGATCAAACCCATGGAGACCATTCAAGTGTAGAACACATGACTGTCTCAGTTACAATCCAATAATCTATTTGGGTACATTTGATGTACAATAGGACTTTTATTTTGGAAGTCTGTGGTATTTGTCATTATTTCTCTGAGTGAGCACGACCACCATTCTCTGAGCCAGACTGGGTGCCAAAAAGTGATTTACTGAATCTGCAGCTTTTATCCCACCTGTCCGCACATTCTCATCGAATTACATTCCTCACAGTGAGTCACTGATGATGCACGAAGATAATCACAGCAGGCAGAAGTTAAACACAGCACAGCTGACTGAACAGATCACATTTATGAGTGATGTCATGAAACTGACATCACTCAGAGTAAACAACGAGCGAGGTAGAGGATAACTTTATTTTCCCCGTGTGGTTGTTTGAAGCAGACAGCAGTCCAACGAGCTGCATACATCCAAGACAGGGTACGGAAGACTATGACTTGTACTCACCTGAAGACTTTAAATAACTCTTTATTTATTTATGATCAGAACCCCCCATGTTGGTGTTCTTGGCCCCCTGTTAAAAATCCTGGGGAAGCCCCTGCTTTACTTTTAACGCTAACCTCGCTGTGCTGCATTCCATGTAGCGGCGTGTCTCATTGGCTGACACCAAATTCCTTTCATAGGCGCGTCCAATCAGCGTCACCGTGTTATCTAGCTGGTGGCTCGCTGGCCCCGCCCCCTCTCTGGAGCTGGGAATGACAGTGAGGAAGAGGAGGGGAGGTCTCCGGTGGTGTCCGAGCAGCAACTTTGCCAGAGAAACGGAGAATCACCGACAGAAAGTCCGCGAAGCGAGTGGCGGATAGGGCTCAGAGCGGTGCTGTGACCCGGCAATTTCCCGGGGGATTGAGTTGTGAGACAGAGGCCGAGGTCGCGCTGAAGCAGGTGAGGCTTCCAGCGCTTTCTGTTCGCTCTCAAGTGGCTTTGTTATCAACAGGTGCCGCTAGCAGCTAGCAGCTAACGCTAGGCTCGAATAAAGTGCGTTTCTCCGAGCAGGGCGGCTCGCTGACGGGCCAAACCGACCCAGGTGTCCGAGTTTAGGCCGTGAACGGAGCCGGTCCGCCCCGGAGCCCTGTCGCTCGGGTGAGAGAAGCAGGAAAACGCAGAGAGGCTCGAGAGTGAGCTAAGGTTAGCCAGCTGTCAGTGAGACAAACTCCAGGCTGGGGGAGAGGTACCTGCATACACCGCTCAGCTTATCTTTATTTCAGTTATTCCACCTCAGCAGCGACTAAAAGCGCCATTTTTACTAAAACGCCGCCGCGTAGTCCTGCTGAAGTTAACCTGAGTGCTGGACAACCTGTCAAACTACAGGAAGCTGTATTTACAGTGAGCTTCTTATTTCCTTGTACAGAGAAATAAAGCGTTCATTTCCTGTTCCCTGCCGCTCCCCGTGACTGCCGTGGAAGGAAATGTGTTTTTGAATGGAGCGTTATCAGGTCCGAGATTACCGAGGACTCAGTGGCAGTGGGCGGCTCGGATTCAAACCTTCAGTCGGTGTGAGGGACAAGCCCAGCCCGGCCTCCTCACGCAGTCCTCTCAGCGTTTGGGGTTTCTTTATTTTTTCTCTCTTGTTTGTTTGTTTTTACCCCGCATATATGTTCCCAGTCATGTTTTGTGCGCTTTTTTTTGGGCTTTATTCTTCAATTATTTGTTGTTTTTTTTTAAAACAAACAAACATGTGTGACGGGCATTCAGTAAATAGTTACTTTTTTCCTAATCTGTTTTTGAATTTCTTTGCTTTTATTTTTTGCCCCACAATTTTATTAATTCTTTTTTGGTAAATTGATTTTTTTTAAGTTTACATTTTCCTCATAAATATTTGTACATTTTAGTCATTTTTGGAGGGAATTTTTTGGGATCTTTTTGTGTTTTATTTTACATTTTTTAAAGTAACGTTTTTTGTCAATATTTGAATTTTTTCCATTTTTTATTATTTTGATATTTGAGTTTAGAAAAAGTCATACCTTTATGAAAAAACGAATTAATTCATGGTATGTGTTTCTTGTAAATTTGTAGTTCTCTGCTCTTGTTTTGGGGGATTTCTGTCCTAAATATTTGAGTTTCTTGTGAATGTGGGCGGTGTTAAGATGTGACCCCGCCCTCCCAGCAGCCTGTCGCCCTTCACTGTGAGTCGCTGCATTATTATTAGACTATTTTCAGCATGACCTTGTGCTGGTTTGTCTCACTGCTGTGGACAGAGTCGTGGTTCTGCAGTTTCAGCAGATAAAATTTGGAGAAGTTTACCTGTTTAATGTTTACCTGCGTTTGCCTTCCAATCAGACATGTCTGTGGGCGGGGCATTGCTCCAGAGAGAGTGGTGGCTCCATCAAAGCAGAGTCGCAATATTTTAAATTTTACTTGTTCATTTATTATTTTTTAATAGCCTTTATTGGATGGAGACAGACAGGAGGCACAGTGGGGGGGGGGGTCGGACTCATACCCGGCTTCCTGGCCATGGATCACACGGTCGCCAGCTCACCCTCTGAGTAAACTGGTGCCCAGAATTCATTTATCTGATTGAATTTCTGTGAATAAAGTTACGATGCAGTTGCTGTGAATGTTGAGTCTTACAAAGAGCGTAGTTTGGATGCGAGCGCAGGTCCCACTAAAGGGCGTCACGCCCTCACGCCACCATCACAGGGTCTGTCTGGGAGATCTCAGTCAGACGAGGAGCCGCTGGAGGTCCCCCGTGCTCCTCCTGTGCCTCCTCACACTGTGGAGCGGATGCTGGTCTGGTCCCGGCGTCTACTCCTCCTGATGCTGCTGGCAGACGCAGCAGGTGTGGAGGAGCTGCATTACCTGTGCAGCATGAACGGGTTGCAGCAGGCACGAGGACACAGAACACTCCCCTTCCTTGTTGCTGCCGCTCTGATCACACCTGTGCAGGTGAGACAGAATTTGTCACCTTTCAGTGTGAGCTGTTCACAGGGCAGCCGGCTCTCGGGTGCTAGATGTTTCATCTGATGACATCAGGACTGCCTTGGAGTCCCACGGCGTGGTGAAGTGACCGCGGTCGGTGGCTGGTTGGATGTGACTCATTGCTGCATCTGCAGTTTCCTGCACATGGTCACGGTTCAGCTGCACATGCGTGTCTGGCGTGTTTGTGGAAAGTTTTCTCACCTGTAAGAGTTTCACATCAGGGCTCCAGACTCTGAGTGCTCTCCACCTTTAAGATGCAGCTCCCCTTGCTGTGTGTTCGGCTCTCAGACCTCAGACCCAAATGAAGAGATAAGATGAGTGAGGCTCTGCAGGAGAAGTGAGTTTTCTCTGAGAACTACTAGTGTTTATCTTTTTGGAGAAGGAACCATTGGACTTGTTTTGTATTTTTCTGATTTATTTTGAAGTCAAAGCTTTCCCTGAAGCTCGTCTTTGTTGTCCTTAATAAGGCTGGTGTTATCTGTGAGGGTGCTGTGGAAGTCAGGTTGGGTGCCTGTGTTTGGTTTCCTCGTCAGCGGATGTAGGTTTGCTTCTGCAGCACAGAAAGAAAGCTGCAGGTGTTGTGCGAGCTGGATGTGGAGGGTCATTGGCTGAATTTCAGAGAGCGGTGGGAGCCTCACTTTATCATCCACGCAGAGCCCTGGTGAAGCAGTGAGGTGAGGACGGGGCTGAGGGCGTCCGGCCAAAGAGAGACAGACGTCCTCTGTTCTCAGGAATGCTCGCTCGCTCGCTTCTTCTCCGGCCTGATTGGGGGGCTCGTGCCGGGGCAGATTGGTCACTGCTGTCTGATTTGGTCCATTTGCGTCCTCAGGCAGTGGGACGTTGCTGAAGTCCAGGTGTGTATGAGGACTGAGTTTAGTCCTTTCCATGCTTATGTTTTTTTTTTTAAATATTTTACAAAATTTCCTTATTTAATCTGCCAGAGAACAGCACCTTCTACTTTTACTTCACCGGACAGTCTGATTGCTTTTATTTTGAAAGATCCAGCCCTTCCTGTCTCATGCTTCCTTTCTCACAAACACGGCCTTGCTGACCAGTCTGTCCTGCTCAGGTGAGCTGGTTAGTTAGTGGTTTAGGAACCAGTTCTCCACCTGTTGCAGGTTCTGGTTCTGGTGCAGGACCTCCAGACTAGAACCAGGACTACATCACCAGCTGCAGTCCAGTGCAGAGGTGGAGGACTTCGTCCGCAGGATGAGAGCCTTAGTAGGGAAGCAGCAAAGAGACGTGACAGGAAGGGCTGGGAACTTTCAGAATAAGAGCCAGGACGTTGCTCTCCAGTCAACCGATCAGATTTTGTGAGAGAACGTGAAAGGCTGTTAGAGGCTGTGGTGTTTCTGGAGGGTGGGGGAGGAATCGGT